ATGTATACCAAAATCACAAATAAAATGAAATGAAAGGCAGCAGAGAGAAGAAAAAAATATTGTCATATCTATACGAATATATTTTTATCTATATATATTTTTCCCAAGAATAAGTTCATATAACAAAAATCTATATTATTAACAAAAGACAAGAACATCTAGTCTCTCTACAATAATTTATATAGATACACATTATACTGTTTCATATTTCTTTAACAATCCAACTTTTATCATTTCCTTAAATGTACATAATGATCCTGCATTTTTAGCATCACTCCCCAAACTATTCCACAGTTTTATTTCTTGAATTTAAGTACACCGTTCCTTCAAACTAGTTCTGAATTTGGGTTTTACAAATATCTCTGTCCCTTTAAGGTTATAACAGCTCTTTCTCTTAACAAAATTTACTTGGATGTTTAAAGGTAATGTGTTTTTGTGGACATACAACAACTTGGCTGTGTTGAGTTGTTACGAATAGGTTTCTGTGGAAAGTTCTGGCTTGGACAATGACAAACTGTAGCAAACGTGCACTTTCAGGTTATTCTCCCATTCAGTTTAATACACGTGTCGTAGACTTCCGTCATTTCTCACAACTGAAACAGAAGCTCTGTTTCTTCCTGCAGTTTGAGAACAAACATACCTGAATAGGTTTGGAGAAGCCAAAGATGCTTGAAGAAATCCACGCCTCCCGTTTGAGTTGCGTGGCTGCCGGCTGCTCCGCTGAATCTTGGAAAACACAACGCTCTTCTACAGACTGAGAAAAAGGAGAGAAGACAGAAATTAAAGCACAAACTCATACATGCTAATGGGATAAAGGGGTTTTGGGTGCATCTGTTGGATTCCTTCTAGTCTAATGTTTTCTTTAAAGAAAATAAACTAAAGGGAATCTACAGAAACATAAAAACAAACCTGGTTTCTTTATGTGTCAATTAAACATTTTGCGCTAAACCAAATTTTGACTTAATAAAACTGAGATAAGATTGTATTATTGATTAACTTGCTTTATCGTGTTTTTTTTTATTTTTTTTTTTTTCAGTTTAAAAGCAGAAACTAAGGTAATCTTATTTGAAAACAATCTTCCACCTATAATTTGATGCTCAGTGATGTTAGGAAACATCCTAAACTGGACAACTTTTGAAACCCTTCAGAGAAATACACCTATTTTTTTTTTAAATAAAATCTGCCAATCCTTCATTGAACATCTTGGAGAGATCACTTTTAAGCTTTCAAAGTGATGTGGAGACACACCTATTTAGATGTGCATATGTGTATTGCACATCGGAATTTCAAGAGTTACTTTTTTTTTTGACCATGGCAAATCTTGCATCAAAACCTTTAATCTGTTCAGACTTAATTGCAGTTGTTTTCTTATTTATTGTGTGGTTTCTGTTATAATAATTTTGTTTATTTTTATTTTTTATTAGATTTTAAATCCTAAGTTTATAATTGTTTTTGTTATATATTATTTTATTCATTGTGTTTTCCAATTAATATGCATGTAAAGAGCCAATTAAAAATCGAACAAACAAAAGGTCATAATCTGCGTTTGAAGACAGTGAAACTGAAAGGGGTCGATAAAAGCAGCTGAGCACACAGAGCTCACCATGACTTTTGTATGGTTGAGATTCCAGGTGTAGGTGGTCAATCTCCTGTTGATGGGATCCACGATGGAGTCCTCGATGATGTACACGGACCGAGACATGCCGGAAGGGAAGAAACGCTCTGCCCAACGAGGCAGCCGATTGGTCTTCATCAAGAGGCGTCTGGAGAGGAGTAGGTGGTCCGCAGTCACCTCCCGGTACACAACGTCCTCTGTGAGAACATGAGTGCTGGAACACAGACGTGCACACGACCATGTCAGCAAGTTTCCTGTGTGTTCTGAAGTGTTGTGACTTATGATCAACAACAACAGCTCATTACTTAAACTGAAATATGAAGCAAATAAACCACTTTGCCACTAGTTCAAACTAAGTTTAGTTTTACATTTCTGATACCTTTTCTCAGTTCTCTGTTCTAAATATGTCTTTTTGGTTTCACTCTTTGCAAGCAAATTAATGCAAATACTGCATCATTACTCTGAACTGCATTTTAGAAAGGCCTTTCACAATATATGGTATATTTTTTTTACATATATCTTTAACTATTTTATTATAAAAATATGAGTACTGGAAGATGGTGACAGTCTAGACTCATTGTACTACAAAAATGTACAAAGAGTAAGTACAGTCAAGATAAAGTCACACTGTGGCAGAAAACAAATTTAATTGAAAAACTGTTTTAGTACCTGAAGGGATTTGGGTACCTCTGCCAAAAAGCTGAGACAACATGGTCCCACGTACTCTTTATGTCTGTCTTATTACAAAAATATTTGACCATTTTCCCCACGCTGATGTCTTTGACAGCCTGACTCCTGAAACCTGAAGTGCCTCTGTGTGATGACACTAAACAGCAAAAACTTTGATGCTGACTCCATCCAAGGTCTGGGACAGTCCTGCAAAAAAAAGAGGAAGGAAGGAAGGAAGGAAGGAAGGAAGGAAGGAAGGAAGGAAGGAAGGAAGGAAGGAATAAAACCATCAATCAGATAGTTTCATACATTTAAAAATAGTTTTTAAGGAAGGGATGTTTACTAAATACTCATAAAGTGTAAAAAAAGATTCAATAAATAAAATCTGGCTATATAAAAGGAATTTCTAAAAACGGATCCGTTTAGCAATATAATTGCTAACACTATTAGAGTCATGATGTCCATATTTTTATTGATGTCTTTATCACCGACACGTATAGCGGTATGAACAGTTTAAAACATGATAAGTACATCTAACTTTGTCACCTTGATATAAACGCTGAACTATGCAGTTTACTACTGGTACCACAGTTCTAATAAAAAAAGAAAGAAAACAGACGAGTGTTAAAATACCTGGTCTCCAAATTAAATTGATAATAAAAAAGGAACGGGTTTAATTATTTGTCCCATTTTGAAACGTAATCTGCTACCCATTTGGGATTATGTGACCGATGCTAATGAGTTAGCTAGCTAGCCTCAACGCCGACTTTCAAACGAGGTTTGACATTAGAGAAACTTACCTTCAGAAAGGATTAATGAAAGTGTAGTGGGACAAACATCCGTAAATTCAGTGTTTGTTGAGTTTCGAGCCAGAAGTTTATATAACGATAGCTAATTCGACACATAATGCTAAAATGTGACAGACCACAATCAGAAGAAGCCAGAATTTTCCAGTCTTTCGGACTTCTTTCAGAGTAACACTGTTTCCGGTTCACATTTCAAAGTAAAAGTGTTAATTTTTTTCATTAAAATTTATTCTTTATTGATCATAATAATGTTTTATTACACATAAATATATTTTTCCTCATATATTCATAATGGTCACTTAAACTAAACACTTGTCATAAAGTTTACATGAGGAGCCTGGGTAAAGTTGTTTCACATCGTCATGCATCACAGTTACCACTAGATGTCGCTCTACATTTTGTCCAACCTTTTAAATGCCTTCCGTTTCTTCTTCCTTTACTTCCTGTTTGTGTTAGCTTGCAAAGTGTCCTCGAAGGTGTCATTGTAGGTCTGTTAAGGTTTGATAGCCAGGGGGGACAAAAAACAACAATGTCTGGCTACACACCAGACGAGAAGCTGCGTTATGACCAGCTGGTCAAACTCCGGCGGATGTGGCTGAAGGACCAGGAGCTCAGTCCGAGGGAGCCCGTGATTCCGTACAAACCTCCTGGTCGACTGGAGAAGTTCTGGACAAGCTTTCTGGAGCCCAAGAGCCTGTGGAGGCTTTACGTGAGTACTGATGCAGAACTGTCAGTAAATGTGCTAGCTTTAACCTAGATGCATAAATAAGAATTGTGTATTTGATTCAAAAATGACTGGGTTTATTTTTGCATTAGTCCAACCATCTTTAGTTTGAAGTAACGTAAACATCACAGCTTAACACACGTTCAAAATTCAAACTAATTGTTGATATAAACTATTAGACTGTAATTATTAATACTTGTATCATCTCTCTCTCTCTTCTTTCAGACCTACAAAACATTAAGAGGCGGGGTCTTCATTGTAAACCGTCTGCTGATACCTCTCTGGATTGTTCACTACATTGTGAAATATCACATTGATGTAAGTTTCTAGAATAGTTAACAGTTTTTGTAGCATGTTGATTTATTTGGTTGAACACTATTTTATCAGCCTGAAAACAGCTGATTTCACTCACCTACACCTTAATACTTTTGGTTATTTGTCTTGACTGTTTTGTCTTTCTGAATCCATGTTTCCGATTGTCTCTTCTATATTACAGTTCTAAGGTGGTATGCACAGCCATAATACTGATAGCTTTTTAAAATGTAGGTTTATGTCAGCAAATACAAATCCAAAATGTTCTTTATTTGGTGAGCTTGCTCTTCTGTCAGATGACACTCACTATTAGTTATTACAGTTTTATTGTTTTATTTTAATGCTATCTCTAACACAGAAGCCAGGAACATTTTAGCAAGATGGACTTTGATTTTTGTGTTTAATTTTTTGTCTCACTTTTAAATATTAGGAACACTGTTTCTTTTTTATGCTCCATACTTATCATATTTAGTCATTCTAAATAAAATAAAAATGTCTTTGCTCCACACAGGAAAGGCCCTATGGCGTTGTGCCGATGAAAGACAAACTTCTCCCAGTAAGTATGACTTGTATCCAGTGGCGGGCTGTGCATTTTACACCTAGGCCGTCAATTGGGAGAGAACCGACCTGCCGGACGCAGAGATGCTTGCGGGGGGTGGGGGGTGTAACGCTGCGGACCGCAGACGTATCACAGTCCACAGCGGCAGAAAGAGCAGGGAGGGAGAAGAGGCTGCCAGCTCTGAAACTTAATAACTAAAATAAAAACAAAAATAAAATCTAGAAGACAGTCCTACAGGTCTGTATGCAAAACGGGGGGAAACCCATCTAATCTACAGACAATCCGTACAACTTGACATGAAGCCACGGTCACAGAAACGCAGAATAATACACTGCTGCATCACAGAGGGGTACAGAAACCTAGTTTCCCACTTCTGTATCGTCTGCTCTCTGATCAGCCAATCAAACAATGAGAAAATGTTGACGCTGTCCGAGGCCAGCTCACGGGCTTTGGTGTCTTCACCTCAGCACCTGATTGGCCAAAGCAACAGTCTCACTGCCATTTGTTTCACCCTCCAGGTGCCTTTGCTGTTTGTTCTGAAGGCCTGAGGCAGATTTCTGGACCCTAGCAACAGATGACGATTGAAATATGATTGAATAAAAACTCTAAATAAATACAAGCTTCTGGAAGCTGCGCAGCCAGGAGAAATGCTATGAAACTAAGAGAACAGATGTTTCAAAAATAATAATATCCTAATAATAATATTAATAACTATTATAATAAATATAAAATATTTTATAATGTAAACCAGTGATTCTGATTGTATTTAGGCCAGCAGAGAAGGCTTTGCTGGCCCTGACGGAACACCACTGCTTGTATCTGACAGTGTTCTTGTTGCATTTAATGCAGTTAGTAAAATTGTTTTATTAAAATTGCTTTCTGAACCAGCTGTTTAATCTCTCTCTCTCTCTCTCTCTCTCTCTCTCTCTCTCTCTCTCTCTCTCTCTCTCTCTGTCTCTGTCTCTGTCTCTGTCTCTCTCTCTCTCGTGTGTACACACAGGGCGACGTCATTCTTGAGACTGGTGAAGTTGTTCCTGATCTCCCTGAGACCCATCATAAACATCACTGAAATGTGAATATTTCATTTGTGTTTCTGTCGTTAAAAAAGTACAATTAAATAAAATTTTACTAAATCATTTGGAAGAGTTTGACTTTATTAATTGTGAAGACTAATTTTACAGGATTGATATACTTCTTTTTGCAAAGTGTGCCAATGTAGGTTTTCCTTTTTTGATGAGTTATCAACTAAACAAGCTGGATTGGTCAGTAGGATGTAATCTAAACTCATAATGTTGTGTATACTAAATACACTCCTGATCAAAATCTTAAGACCAGTCAAAAAAGTGCAAGAATTTGCATTTTGCACTAATGGATCTTAAGAAGGTTCTAAGTTTCACAATGTTGAAAGAAGAAATCAGTGCAAGAGACAAGAACTTTTGAGCAGGGAATTTTCTGAAAACTGCATTTACACTCAAACATGATTTTTTTTCAGCTGATCAAAAGTTTAAGACCATAGCTCAAAAAAAAAAAAAAAAACCAAAACAGAAATCAAAGTGTTAAAAAAAAAGGACTCAGTAATGAGTAGCTCCACCATTCTTGTTGATGACTTCAAACAATGGTTTAGGCTTGATGCCAGTGTTTCTAGGAGGCTAGTGGACCGTTGCTCCAAGTGTTGAAGATGGCTTCACGAAGGCCATCCACTGTCTGGATTGGAAACTTCCCTTGCCATCTATCCCCAAATGTTCTCAGTTGGGTTTAGATCCGGGGAACATGCAGGATGGTCCAAAAGAGTGATGTTATTCTCTTGGAAGAACTCCTTTGTCAGGCGGGCATTGTGAACTGCAGCATTGTCCTGTTGAAAAACCCAATCATTACCACACAGACGAGGGCCCTCAGTCATGAGGGATGCCCGCTGCAACATCTCCACATAGCCAGCTGCTGTTTGGCCCCTGCGCAACCTGAGACTCCATTGTTCTATTGAAGGAAAACGCACCCCAAATCATGATGGCGCCCCCACCACTGTGCCGTGTAGAAAACATCTCAGGTGGGATCTTCTTGTCATGCCAGTAACACTGGAAGCCATCAGGACCATCAAGGTTAAATTTTTTTCTCATCAGAGAAGACAACTTTCTTCCACCTTTCAATGTCCCATGTTTGCTGCACCCTTGCGAAGTCCAAACGGGCAATTTTGTGGCGTTGAAGAAGACGTGGCCTTTGAAGATGTTTTTTGTTTCTGAAGCCCTTCTCTCACAGATGCCGTCTGATGGTTACTGGGCTGCAGTCAGCACCAGTAATGTCCTTAATTTGGGTAGAGGATCGTCCCGTGTCTTGACGGACAGCCAATCGGATCCTGCGGCTCAGAGCTGGTGAAATTTTTTTGGGTCTACCACTTGACTTTTTTGTTCCATTATCCCCAGAATCATAAAAAAATGCAAAATGACTGTCTTACTGCGTCCTTCAGCAGCGATGGCACGTTGTGAGAGGCCTTGCTTATGCAGCTCAACAACCCTACCACGTTCAAAGTCAGTGAGCTTTTTTACTTTTGTCATCAGGAGGTCTTGACAGTGTAAAGACTTGACAGAAAATGACATGGAATCCAGATTTTTGCACAACTTTTGGCTTTTAAAGACTATGGTCTTAAACGTTTGATCAGCTGAAAAAATCATGTTTGAGTGTAAATGCAGTTTTCAGAAAATTCCCTGCTCAAAAGTTCTTGTCTCTTGCACTGATTTCTTCTTTTAACATTGTGAAGCTCTACTTAAAAAACTTCTTAAGATCCAATAGTGCAAAATGCAAATTCTTGCACTTTTTTTGACTGGTCTTAAGATTTTGATCAATATTTATCATGTTGGGACTTAAAAAAAAATGGTTAATAAAAAAAGGATAATTGCACCTTTTCTTCTAATTCTGTAGTCATTCACAGACTTCCCTAGTTATACAGTGCTAAGAACTGACCCTGCTAATAATAAAAATAAAAATAAAAATAAACTCATTTTAAAATGTAAAACGTAGAATCAAAAAAAAAAAAAAAAGAAAGGCGGAAGTATTGAAATTCCGCTTTTATTTTGAAGGACGGAAGGAAGAAGTTATGACTCAGTCATTATGAAATGTTGGACACGGAGCGTCTACCTTGCAGTTTTGAGGGGATTCTGAGTAAATTTCTACAAGGAGGAAAGCCGTAATTGGTTTCATACGAACTAATCGTGTGTTCGATAAAGTCACAGGTAAATATATCTTACTTTGTTTTACCAAAAAGCCTTCTAGCTTTTCTGGCTTAACTTCAGCTAAAACATGCTAGCTAATGTTAGCTGGATTGCTAACCATCTATTTACCGTGTCAACTGCATTTAATAGTATTTTTTTCTTGGTAGCCTCTCTATTTACGACAGAAAGGAGTTTGTTTAAACGTCGCGGTTGGTCATGTTTATGTAGGATGCATTTCATTCGAATGTTTACCGTGTTTATAGAAATAAATTAATGTAATTGTTATAGAAATCAACTGCGTTAGCGTGTTCTGTTCACAGCTGTGTGGCATAAGCGATGGGTTAAACTGGCTTTATTGCTTTCTTGTATGACATTCTGATTACTGACTTTCATGGTACAAACATACAGTAAGCTGTTGTTTTCTATAGCGTGATTTTTTTTCTGATTTATATTTAAAACAATACAATTTTGTTGCAATTCTAAAATAGTTTTTTTTTTTTTTTGTGTGTACACTGTGAAACCATTTCTATACAACCAAAATCAACATGATACACTTGACAAGTTTGTTACAGCAGGATTTTATCCGCTCTGGAGTTTCTTTATTGTTCTTTTATACAAGTGTGATTTTTATTTATTTATTTATTTTTGTTTAATTTTGTTTTCTTTCTGTCAGATCATGTCAGCATTTGAGATTGCCCTGCCCCACAGCCAGAAGGATAGTAGAAGAAAAGACTCAAAAGCGATGTCTGCAGAAGTATCCCCAGACTCCAAGTGCCCCATCTGCTTGGATAAGTTCAACAACATTTCCCACTTGGACCGCTGCCTGCACAAGTTCTGTTTCCGCTGCATTCTGGAGTGGTCCAAAAACAAGGCGGAGTGTCCGCTGTGTAAACAGCCGTTTAACTCCATCTATCACACCATCAAGTCGGATCAGGACTTTCAAAAGTACGAAGTTAAACAGCGTGTGGAAAATTCTTCTTTCGGATATTTTGAGGGCGTGCGCTTCAGATACCGCACAACCCTCACTGGAGTTCATCGACAGATGAGAAGAACCTCTCCGCCTCCAGACAACGGAGTGATGTTCGAAGCCCCGGCAAGTCTACCCCAGCAGCGGCAAGACCGCTACATTCGACGCATGATGCTGAGGCTGGAAGCCAAGAGGAGAGCTGAGAGGGAAGGCAGGGCTGTGAACAACGTCAGAGAGCAGGAGATGATAAACTTCAGGAGGGAGCTGTATCGTCGAGGGGTGAGGGTCCGAAGTGTGAGGGACGGAGGCCGGTCCCGAGACACTTCTGCCGAGTTTTATAGAAGAAATCCAGCCTGCCTGCACAGATTGGTCCCCTGGCTAAAACGAGAACTGATGGTGCTCTACGGGGACCATGGCTCTCTGGTCAACATAATTCAGCACATCGTCATGTCACGTGTCACACGTTATGATATGGAGGATGGCGCTATTCAGGAACAGCTTAGGCCATTCCTGCAGCGACGAACAGAGCACTTCTTACACGAGTTCATCAGTTTTGCAAGATCCCCTTTCAATATGGAGGCCTATGACCAGCATGCTGTTTATGACTGCCCAGCCCCCTCCTCAAATGAAGATGACAGCTCCAATTCATCTGTAATCGCTATCTCTGAAGATGAGGAAAACTCTGCAGAGATGGACCATCCGACGTCTACTCTTGGCCACTCTGTGTGGGACGATGAGACACCTGGGCCTTCATATTTCACAACAGCTGACCAGAGCAGGGCAGAACCTCTTTCAGTTCTGGACCTGGACTCGGAGAGCAGTTCAGACGAGGAAAGACGCGAATCTGGGGCTTCTCCGCAGCTAGTGAGTACATTGAACCAGGCTGATGTGCCTGAAAGTGATCCTAATGAAGACTGTGTTATTGTCGGCTTTGTTAAGCCTACAGCAGAGAGGACTCCTGAGCTGGTTCAGCTGTCCTCTGACTCAGAAGAGTCTGCTTTTGAAGATATAGAAGAAGTGCCTCTTCAGTCTCGTCACATCCGTTTTACCAGCTGTAGTCCCACTCCTACACAGATGAGTGATTCCAGTCAAAGAACAGAAAATGTAGAAACCGATCTCCGTCGTCCATTGGAGCTGAAAGAAAGATGTCGCTCTCCAGCGTCTAGCAGACCCAAGAAATCCAAAAAATCCAACAGTAAAGAAACGGATAAAAATCAAAGGAGGAGGCACAAATCAAAGGACAGAGACCATGAGAGGAAAAGGAGAAGGTCTAAAAGTGGAGAGCGCAGGCGTGCCAACAAAAGCCCTGCGAGCTCTAACAGCAGCGTCGGATCTCATTCTAATGAAACAGATTATTCTTTTTCCCACGGCAAAGACTTCTCAAAGTGTGAAACAACGAGCAGAAGGGGGGACCGGGACCACAGCTATCAGTCTTACAGCCATTACAGACGAGAGAAAAATGGGAGCATGATGCACTTCACACACAGACAGTCCTACTATTTCAGCAGCCGCAGGTGCTCTCGCTCGAGGAGCCGCAGCAGGGATTCAGAGAGGCGACACAGGAGACGGTCCCGATCCAGAAGTTGGTCTAGCAGCCGCTCCTCTTCTACAAAACGGAAGTCTCATCACAACAAGCCAGGGGGGAAACGGAAATACAAAGCAAGACATTTGGAGGAGTCGTCCTCAAACTTAGCCCTGAACTCGAATGCAGAAGGCGACTCCGCTTTATCAGCAAAACACAAGAAAAAAAGCAAAGAAAAGCGTCATAAAAGATCGAAGGAGAGGTCCAGAAAGAGCAGCTGCAGCGGTGACATGGAGCCCGCCGGGGAGAGGAAAGAACACGACCGAGGCAAGCATCATCACAAGAAAAAGAAGAAACACAAGAAAAACAAAAAGCACAAGAGCACTGAGCAGAAATCAAAGCGCTCACCAACAGTCATTACCATTGATAGTGACTCTGATTCTTTTGCCAACCATGATAATGTTGCCCATATCAGCAGCAACGATAGAAATAACATCACTGATTGTCCCATTGATGACCAAGTAAACCTCAAGCTTGAGGACTATTCATCACAGTTCTATTAATGGACTAGTGATGGATTCATGGATTAGTTGCCAAAGACTTCACAAAAGTATTTTAGATCCAAAACAGTGTTCGATAAGGATCTCCAGACATTAACAAGCTAATGTTTGTATATTAAATTCATCTGTTCAATTAAATTTGTTCACAATCGTTTTTATATGGACATTTCAGAAGTCTTTGGTGGATGTGAAAAGGAAAAATACCCTTATTGTTTTAGTTTCTGGTCCTAACCATATCTTAATAACATTGTTTTATGTTTTAACATGGATTTGGACTCCTTTTACAAATATGAGCTCATATTCTAATTTCGTTTGTAATGTGCAGAGATATTTCAGGGGAAATGTGTTTTTTTTAATGTAAAATATCAGCAATATTATTGGAACAAAACTACTTCCACCAGCCTGATGTGGACTTAGTGAAGTTATTCACATATGATGTTTGGATTTTAATATGGGCTCCTTTTGTATTTAATTTAAGAATAAATGGTATTGAATAATTCTATTTGATCAACTTTGTTTGTTTTTATTGTCATATTAAAAAATAATTATTTTTAGGATAGTTACATATTAACATCATTAATATGGGATACATCCTGTAAGTAAAATAAGTTTAGAAATATTTGTAGGATATATGGAAGAGCCACGTTTTAAGCTGAACAAATCATCCAGTCTTTCATTTTTGAGAAAGTAAAGTGTTTCAGAAACTCTTTGTTTCTTCTGTTACAGCTTAATCATCATAGAAAAGATGCTTATGCTACAGTCTTAGTAGTCATTTAAGTGTTATCAACCTTAAAATCCATACAGTGCAACTGAAATGAAAGTTAATTTTGAGTGATCACTTTTTTTTAGCACAGGTATATTTTAATCACCTTGCAAATTAATTATACAAACTTATCTTCATTCCTTTTAATTCCCATATACTTTTATCATGTTCAGGCTTAAAAACATTTGTAAAAAAATGATAATAACCTAAGTTGTATTAGATAATAACATGCTTGTGAAATAATCAAAAGTATTAAAAATCAAAAATAAAGACTAGCACTGTTGTGCTTTTATTTTGAAAATGACCAAGCCGGAAAAGAAATGTCTCGTGCTCAGTTTGCTGGCGGATGTAGTTGTCGGTATATCTTCCTCTAATTTAAGCAGGTCTTCACTATTTCTGGAAAGGAAAAAGTTGCCATGGCGTCTTCTTTGCCCATTAAGGTAATAAAGTTATGTCTTAATGTCACGTTGCGAGTTTTAGTAACGGAGTAGTGAGTGTTTAAATACGCTGACACAAGGAGAAAGACTCAAAAAAACGTGGACTTTTACCTGATACAGCAGCCTTACCAGCCTGGAAATGAAATGGGGGAAAAGAGGCTCTTAGTACACCGCCATGGCTTTAATATCAGTAGTTTGCCTTTCTGTGTTTAGTTTAGGGTCTGCAATAATCTGAGGTAGCATCAAAATACTGATTTGAAGGTAAAATGTCCCAGGACTGGTTGTCTTGTGGCTTCCACGCTGCAGTCTCCACCCACGTGGAGTGGACAATAAAACACCTGAAATCAGGCTGGCAACCAATTAGTCCAACTAATAAGTATTAAGACAGTCACATTATTACACGTACTGTAATTGATTTGTTTTTCTACAATTTTAACTTTTGCTCAAGCAATGTCAGTTTTTAAAACAGCTAGTTACTTTTAATATAATCACTATTTATTTTACTTTTTATTTAGCCTTTGTTTACTTCTAGAGAAGCCAGGTTTGTTTCCATCATTTTGCGAGTGTTGTAGATCATCCTTTTCAGTCTCTCAAGTAAGGTTTCCTGAATGTGCAGCTGCTGTAAACTCTTTACATTCAGACTGCAGGATGCTTAAAAACGTTCAGGTTGCACAACATGTCACCATCAGGATCATATCAAGTGGGTGAAGTTCATTCAGCTGTATGTTTTTTTTTTATGTTGTCTTAAATTGCTGCGGCAACCATTGAACACTCAGCATTAGTTTTATCTGTAACCTCTGAGTATACAGCCTGTGTTTGTCTCCATTGTGATATTTATTTGACCTTTATTTATACAGGTACGCAGGTAGTCTCACTGTGATCCAAAATCTCATTTACAAGAGAGACCTGTAATAAAACAAAATAATAAAGTATATACTTTTGGGGTGCCATGTAGCTAATGGCATCTACATACTCTCTCTCTGTCTCTCTCTCTCTCTCTCTCTCTCTCTCTGTCTCTGTGTGTGTGTGTGTGTGTGTGTGTGT